AAAAACTTAATAAAACTTTGCTCGAAAATAAATAGAAAAATCAATATTTTAACATTTCACAATTGACATATCAGATCTTTCATGTCGTGTAGGGAAATATAATATCCTAATGACAGCAGCTAGTCATTCAATATCTTGAATTAAATCTATAATACAGAAGAACTTAACAGAAGTATTTACATAGAAAAACTGCAGTTGCAAAATTATGTAAAACAAATTTTGTAAAATCCGAGAAAATAGATTTTAAATAATTAACATATTATAAATATATTATAATACATTAAAATATAATATAATAATATATAATAATATATATATATATATATACATATAATTTTTTTAAATTGGCGAAGTCAATATTGTTAAATACAATTTTAATGAATCTTCAAGATTTAAAGAAATTGTATTTAACAATATAGTTAAAATGGGTCAATAAAAAAACTAATATAGGACAATACTTGATATGCTTTTCCAAAAAAATAGAAATAATGAAATTTAATTCTAAAACAGTTAGAAGAGCCAATATTTTTATTATTTCAGAATTAGCATTGAATTTCCTATGTTATTATGTTCATTCATGCAGTATTCTATATATTTTATTATATATAAAACTAAAATACTAATAAAATTATTAAATTAATATAATAATAAAAGCTACTAAATTAAAATTATTATAAAATAAGTATATACTGATATTATTAAATATGTTTAGTTTGTGTATTACAAAGATTATATATGTAACTACTATTATTATTTTTTTTATACATAGAATCATTGAAAAGTACAAATTACGAAAATGCGAAGAGCAACAAATGTCAATCAAGATCAGTGGATCAATCATCCAATGAAGTTCCGAATAAACGGACGAAGCACTTACAAGATGGATTTTTGAATATTTCAAATATTTTGCAGGACAATGAGCACAACATACAAAATAATAAGACAGAAGATGTTGTCGACAATAAAATTGGTACATAATTTATATTGTTTAAAACTAACTTTATAATTTTTCATAGGTTTTGTCTGTGCTATCAGTAAATAACTGTAAAAAAATAATTATTAATTATTATTATACTGTTTATTCTATTTTTTGATATTATTATTATATTAACATTATTTTATCATTATCATCATTTTATCACCATCTTCTTTATTATATTTCATTATCTTAATCATTATTTTAATCAATAATTATATTTATATTAATCATGTTTATATTTAATCATATTTATATTTTATTATTTATATTTATTATTTTGTTATACAAAGAAATATTAAAAATGTTTTTGTGATTGCTTTCTTTGTCTGTGCACTTTATAAATAAAATGTCATAACTATACGTTAATAGCACGGACAAAAATCTATTCAATATACATATATTCTGAAATTACTATTTTATATATACATATATAATCTCAATGGAATCTTTAAAAAATTGGAATTTAGTAAGTAAAAAATAATCTTTACATTATTTTTGTTTTAATTTACAGTGCTTCAGTATTTTAAAGAAATTATCCGTCAGCAATCATACTTTAAGACCCAGTTATGGCAAATAGCAGATGATTTAAAAGATATGAAAAATGAATTGTTGCAACAAGTTCATCAACGGCCCAATGTAACTGAAAGAGAAGAGTCTATTTTTTCTTTTCCTCATCTTCCTTTTAATTCGGTGGAAGATTTAGAAGAGCACGTGGAACAATTTTTAAATCAACCGAATAAGTTCGAAATATCGGTAATAATAATTTATTAATTATTAATTTTTTTTAATGAGTTTTATTGGATTTTTAAAATTAATAACTAATTGTTTAACTTTTAAAATGTTAATTATTTACAATAGATCTTTATAAATATTTTAAAAACAATTACAGTTAATCTAAAATTCTAAATCACAAAATAAAAATTAACTTAGTAAATAAGTTAAAATTAAAAATAAAAATTTATTAAATTAAATTAATATATAAATTTCAAAAAAAATAAAATAGATTCTTTCAATTCCTTTTAATTCTATATTATTTATTACATTTTAAATCTAATTTGTGGTTATTAGAGCGATATATTATTAAAATTTATAATATAAAATTATATAGTAATATTAATAACATGTAAATTATTAAATTAATTGTTAAACATATTGTTATATATTTGTAATTTTCAAAATAATGTTTTTTAAAAAATATTTATTGTAGGTTAAAGAAGTATCCAGAGTAGGGGGAAAAAATCCTTACGAATTTATTAAGCGCAATTGTACTCGTTTGTTGACCAACGAGCTGGCTGAAAAATATAGTTGGCTAGGAGCAAAACAGAAAAGGAAATTTTGTCATTTAAAACTCGCTGACTTGCTAATTGGTAAGTATGTCTATAAGTAGATAATGTTATTTGTTTAATTTATTAATGTTATCTTATTTAAATAATTAATCTTAATGAAATCACATAAATAAAAAAATAAATTATTGCTTACAAGATGCTGATTTTTTTATTACAGTTTCCGGTCAAGATAGTAATTCCGAATATAACAAGAAAGTTTTAGAAGAAGCAGTTCAGAAATGGCTGCGAAGAGCTAAAGAAAGATTAAATGGTGAAAAGAAGAAGCAAGATAAACAAAGAACTGAAGAAGACTCATCATAACTATAAGAAGACTAATAACAAGAAGATTAATAATATTAATAAATTTTTGATATATTTTATCATATATATTTATATGATACATATGCGTAATAATTAACATTGTAAGCGTTCAAAGTTTTTTAAGTTAGATTTATTTCAAGATAAAGTTAAGATTTATTTTATAATATGTACGTATGTGATACTAATGTTTCCGTAACAAAATGTTCAATTTAATTTCTAGTTTTTAAATAAGATTTTTAATATTTCCAGTCAATGAAAAATAATATTTCTATGATATATCTTATACATATAAATAATAAGCCATACATATGTTAGATTTCCATATTATATATTATCTTTTATAATTAATATATATTATAATTATTCTCAAATATACAAATTGTCGGATGTCAACGCTCGTGAGTAGATAAAACATTGTAGTAAACTAAACATAAAAATCTTATATCATTTTGCTTTTGCAAAATAATGTGATTAATTTGAATATGTAAGCCAATGGGCGCATGGAAAGCGATAGTTTGGAATCTGTAGGCATAACATAGACAATAAAATAAATCGACCCCTACTATCTTTTTAGCCGATCTATTCTATTGTATATGATACCTACCAATTCCAAACTTTCGCTTTTCATTCGCTCATTGGCTTAAATATTTTAATAATATAACAATTATTGCGAATTTAGCAAAATGATATAAAACTTTTCTGTTCAGTTTACTGTATTCTACTTGCTCGCGAGTATAATTGGCACAATCTTTACCCTGACATCTTGTATGTAATATTGATCATTTTTGTATATTATATTATATATTTTTTTACATGTATATGTATAAAAATAAATATATAATATATAATAATTATTATATATTATTATATATATTGACAAAACAATATTTTCGGTACCAAACTCAAAAGTCAATAAATGTTTATATTTGAATAAATCAATTGTTTTAGTATTTTATTAGATTCGCGAGTATGTATCCCAAAATTACGTCCGTAATATGTCCGAAATGAGACCGTTTTCGACCTATTTTGGATTTATTATGGATATCGTTAATACGTCCAAGATGATCCAAAATAAGTCCAAAATAGGTTCAACAACAGTCTTATTTCAGATATTTTATGGATGTCCGAAGTTGTGTCAAGCGTATGTGATATGGATGTCCATCAGACGTCCGACGAATCTTATTTGGACCAAAAATAGATGTCCGACGTCCAGAAAGTAGACGTTCAATGGACATCCATTGAATGTCCATGTGCTATCTGGGTTAGTAATATGGAATAGTATATTAAAATAATTACTTATTTGTACATTGCGTTTAACAGAGGGTTAACAAAAATTTAATCTTGACAATAGCTTTAAAATTGTTACAAATAGAAATTTTTATTATCACTTTAAAGAATTTATTTTCTTTTCAAAAATAATAAAAAAAATTGTATAAAAAAAATCAAATTTACTTAACGTACTAAGACATCCAAATATTTTTGTTTCAATTTAATATTTTTGATAAAAATACTACGCTTAATAGAATTCAGAATATATTATGAATTTTAATGCTTGTGATGAATTTGTGATATACTTGTGGATATAAAAACTTATGATATATTTGAAACAAGTAATATTTATTTGAATATTGTTCTCTGTATTATATTATGATTTTTGTATAATTGACTGTTTTCTAATATGCGTATATGTATATATTATTTTGCTTTCAAATATATGTATATATTATTTATTTTTATGAAAATTCACACAGTATGCATATCCAAAAGATGTTCAGAAAATCCCAAAGATATATGTGAGCCACATAAAATCTTTGAAAGGTCCTTTAAATGTCTTTTAAATACGCAATAAACATATAAGCAATCCAATTAAATCATGGCTGCGTCATGCCCCTGTGCGCTTTTCACGAGAACAAAAGTAAATTTTATTTAACATATGTTTAGATATAGTTTACTATATTTTTCTTTTAACCTACTTAACATGATAACGATTTATATTATTCTTTTATATATATATAAAATGACGTTTATTTAGCTTTTTTGCAGCAAATGCTTAATGAAATCAAGCGTAGTAAATTACGAAGTTCTGTTTTGCATAAAATTTTATGTTTTATTGCTGTAGAGCAATCTATTTAATTCTGCAAAACAACGATTTCGTAATTTACTACGCTTGATTTTATAAAGTATTTGTTGCAAAAAAGCTAAATAAAAAGACGTAATACTTTATATGTGTAAAAGCCGAATAATATGAAATATTACCATGTTAAGTAAGCTAGAAAAAAATTAGTTTTAGAGAAAATAGAAAATAAATTATGCTGTCTTCTAAGCTGGGCAATAGAGCCAAGGAAAATAATTTACATATACAAAACGTTTTTCAGGAAAATAACACATGTTGCGAATGATTTGGAAATCGTGGCCGAGGATGAAATCAATGAAGTCGATAATGAAAACCAAGTTAATACTGTGGCTAATAACGCAGCTGATAAAAATATTAATGAGAAAATAGTTGATGAAAATCTTCTAAATAGTGATGAAAAAAATCTAAGGTAGTTAGATTTTATGCAATTACTATCATTTTTATGGACCATTAGATCCATAAAAAAGATAGTATTACATTATATAATATATATATATATATAATATTAATATATATTCTATTACAAATTGTTTCCTTATTTTGTGGTCTCTCTTTTGATTAATTTTTTTTTATAAAGTTGAGTAGTTTTTTTTTATAAAGTTTCAAATTTTCATACGTGCAATAGCACAGCTTTATTTTAATAATTTTTAAGCAAAGGATGTCATGCCCATGTTTATAAGTTGCGTACATAAATTATGTTTATAAATTACGTAGAACTGATATGCAATATACGTAATGTGCAATAATATAATAAGTACTTATATATTTTTCAATAATATATTTATATTCTAACTAATTATCATTTTTATGGACCATCAAATCTATAAAAGAGATAGTATTACATTATAATAATATATGTTCTTATTACAAATTGTTTCCTTATTTTGTGGTCTCTTTTTTGATTAGTTTTTTTTATAAAGTTGAGTAGTTTTTTTTTATAAAGTTTCAAATTTGTATACGTGCAATAGCACAGCTTTATTTTAATAATTTTTAAGCAAAGAAGAATTTCATGCCCATGTTTATAAATTACGTACATAAATTACGTTTATAAATTACGTAGAACTGATATGTATGTACAATATACGTAATATACGTAATATACAATAATATAATATGTACTTATGTATTTTTCAATAATATATTCATATTCTAACTATAATTATCATACAATATTACTTTTTTAGGAAGCCCTTACCTGTCTATTTTTTAATTTTATTATTTTAACTGGAAATCTTATTTGTATGCAAACGCAACTTTCTTTGTGCACTATCTGTATATCTCCTTAATAGTACGCTGTTCATTTTGAATAGTAAGATATCCAATATTGAGCACACATACAGTGGAGACAACGTACAGTTGATGCACACGGAAAGTTGAAATCGTTTATATAGGTGATGTGAATACTTGTGACAATTTGCAGGTGAAGAGTGTATATGTTACCGGCCAAACCCTGATTTTAGGATAAACTAATTTTTCCTGTTTAGCCTAAGAAAAACTAATTTGTATATAAGAATGATATTTAGATAGGAGTGCACGGGGGGACGGGGCTTTGTAAAACGCCATCGCTCTGTGCATTCTCACATAAAAAAAACAACTTGAAAGCGAGGAAACTATCAAGGTTAATAGTACTGCATAGAAGTTGAACTGGTTAATTTTAACGCATTTTGTATAGACTAGTTCAGCCTAGGAAAAATTAGTTTATTCTGAAATCGGGTTTCGTCGGTAACATACATGGAAAGTCTTCCGCGTTTCTTCGATAATGTGTCTATTGACGTTTTCATAGAATCTAGATTGTCCTATTAGTCTTGATACAATGTGGATGATGGATGTGCCTTCATACAGACCGCATAATGTCTTTTATTGAATTTGACAAGATTGTCCCATTGTGATAAAAAAGCGGACATTTACGTCCTATGGGCATTTCATGAGACAATCCTATTACGATCGCGGGATAACTTGTATGATGTCTCATAAACGTATTTTGGATGTACATTCTTCTCGATACCTATTATAGAAATCTTGGGACATCGTAAGGACCCTTTTAAGACGTCTGCAAGATTATCCCATTGCGGTAAATAAAGCGTACATTTACGGCCCTATGGGCGTCCCATAAGACAATCCTATTACGATCGCGGGATAACTTATATGATGTCCCATAGACGTATTTTGGATGTATATTTTAATATCCTCTTGATATCTTATGAAAATTTTGGGATATTGTGAGGACCCTTTTAAGACGTCTGCAAGATTATCCCATTGCGGTAAATAAAGCGTACATTTATGGCCCTATGGGCGTCCCATAAGACAATCCTATTACGATCGCGGGATAACTTATATGATGTTCCATAGACGTATTTTGGATGTATATTTTAATATCCTCTCGATATCTTATGAAAATTTTGGGATATCGTGAGGACCCTTTTAAGACGTCTGCAAGATTATCCCATTGCGGTAAATAAGGCGGACATTTACGGTCTCATAGACGTCCCATGAGACAATCCCATTACGATCGCGGGATAACTTGTATGATGTGCCATAGACGTATTTTGGATGTATATTTGTTGTCTGGGTAATTCTAAAATTAATAATCTTGTTCCATTACACAAACCTTCGCTGATATTCAGATTTCTAATGAACATGATAATTGTATATTTTCTTAATCGGAGTTTATAAGGTGGAAGATTTGTTGGATTTAAAGTATTTAAATATTCTGTTAAAATAGCTTCATTAATATCATTATTATCATCAGTAGTTTCAGTAGTATCTATACTTGTGCATACTCTTTTTATTGATTCATCAAGTAAATTTACAACTTGTTTGTTTAATTCATCCACATCAACATTTCTTGCAGAAAGTATAGCACGTTTTGCTGCAAGTCTATACTGATTGTGTTTGATTATTTCTTCGTATGTATCTTTTGTTATATTTGCATTTAAATTTGCTACACATCTTAATGGAATTTCAATATTATTAGACTGATCATTTAGAGAACCATTACCCAAATCTAATAAAAATTGAGCAAATTCCTGTTTATGTGGTAAAATACGCATATTTTCTGTTAATGAAAAAATTTTGAAATGTTGCCATAATGAACTAAATTTAATTGATAAATTTACAGTTTTAGAACGTGTGGCATTTTCTTTTACTGGCAATAATTGTCTGAAATCTCCACCAAAAATAACAATTTTTCCTCCAAATGGTATATTATTATGCATTAAATCTTGTAAGAAACAATTCATTACTTCAAGAGCATATCGCGGTGCCATTGGTGCTTCATCCCAAATAAAAACATCTGTTTTTTTTAAATAATCAGTTTCTTTGGATTGAACTTTTATATTCGATGTTGAATTATTAAAAAGAGATATGGGCAAACCTAAAGTTTTATGTGCTGTTCTTCCATTTGGTAGTAATGTTGCAGCGATACCAGTGAAAGCCATTGTATTAACAACTTTGCCTTGAGATTTGAGTAAATAGTATAATGTTGTGTGAATAAAAGTTTTACCTGAACCTTCTGGACAGTCAATGTATAAGCATTTTTTTTTGTTAATTGTTAGTTTTTGCCAAAAGAGTTAAAACATAATCAACAACATTTTTTTGACCATAATTTAATTGGCTATACTGTTGCTGACCACATAAAGCTTCTCTTTGCAATTGTTCTGCATCTTCTTCTTCATATTTTATCTTTATTTATTCCATTTCTGGAAATTGCTTAAGTTTCCAACCTTCTTTGCAAAGTAATTGATTGATTTGAGCATAAGCTTTTTTTATTCCAGTGACTCGTCCAAATCGTCATATGTAATCTTCGGACATTGCAACTTGAAATTCATCCCATAACTCTTTTGGATGCAATGGTTGGCAATGCATTAGTATTTGAATAAAAAGATACCTAAGTTGTCTTGGCATCATCCATATAGAAGCTTCGCTAATTGCACGTTTCCATTCATCATCATCTTCAATTAAACCCAAAGCCAAACATGCAGATTACTTCAAATGTTTGATGTAATACACCATTAACTGTTTTTAAAGCATTATAACTTGTTGCTCCGTTAATATTTAATAAAAGAATATGTAAATGGAATAATTCGATTTCAGTTGGACTAACTGAGTACATTCGTCTAATACAATTAAATTTACTCTGACGTTTTTCCCAACGGCTAATTTGTTTTCCATCAAGAATTACTTCCTTGAACACGTAATATAAAGGTATATCTGTATATACATATTGGTGTGCATCAACATCTCGTTTATTTAATTCAAAATAATCCATTAACATTGTTATACGTTCTAAAACAGATTGTAAATCTTGTTCATTTAAATGATTAGAGATAATTACATTTTGTTCACTTGGCAAATGTACAGGTAAATGAATGATGGCATGACTTTTTTCTTGCAATATTTTATTTACAATACGCCAATAAGCTTCAACTGGTCTTACATAACGTGCTTCAATAAAATCTTTAATTTTATCATGAACAATTTCCATATTATTCACATCTTTTTCTATAACTACAGATGCTGTATCGTGACCTTTGTAAATATATTTATATAAATACTTTACTGACTTGATACTTGAAACAACTTCAACATTAATATGACAATTAAAAATTGTTGATAATATTGGACAGTAAGGAACAACAAATCGATTATCTACTACAAATTCTCCAGGTTTCTCATACAAAATGCTAGTGTCTCTTCGATGGTATTGTAGATAACCATTTTCATCCATAGTTGTTTCCTCGTGAAAAGATTTTGGAAAATGCTTTGAACATTTTCCATTTACCATACACCAATCACCACATGGTCCATGAATCATATTTTTTATGACAATTTCATGCAAATTTTGATCAATAGCAGGATCCGGAATTTCAGCAGAAATATACTTATCAACGGTTTCCGAATTAATAATTTTGCATTGTTGTTTTAAAGTTACTAATATATGCACATGCGGCAAACCACGTTTCTGAAATTCGATTACATAAACAAATGCTTTTACTTCACCAAAAAATTTTTGTCGAACAATCAAATCTATCAAATAATTTTTTTTTTTATATCAAATACTCTAGCACAAATATCAGGTCTATCAGCAGGTTGTTAATTTGAAAGTAAATTTTCTTTAATTTTGAGCCAATTTGGATTACGAATCATTGTAATAAAAATATCTGGTTTACCATATTTACGAACAATAGCCATCGCATCTTGATAATTTTGCATCATATTTCGAGGTGAACCAATAAATGTTGATGGAAGTATCATTACTCGTCTAACACGAGCATTAGCATCAGTCGCTTTTTTTCTAAATAATCGATTAGTCCCTGATGCTTTTCCACTCTCAACTGTTTTTGATTTTCTTTACACCAGTCTTTTTCTATTTTTACATAATTGTCAACAAGTTATTGTTAAAATAATCGTTTA